AACAAGCAAACATGATCTTCTTTTCCTTCAATTTCAAATCCTTTGGGTTGATGCATGTATATTGTTCCTCAAGTTCGCCATGTAAGAAAGCTGTCTTAACATCAAGTTGTTCTAATTCCAAATTATACATGGCAACGAAAGCAAGCAAGACACGAATAGAGCTATGTTTAACAACAGGTGAGAAAATATCATTAAAATCAACTCCTTGTACCTGACTATAGCCCTTTGCAACTAATCGTGCCTTATACCTCGCATCTTCAACCCCTGGAATGCCATCCTTTTTCTTGAAGACCCATTTGCAACCAACAATTCTTTTTCCTGATGGCGGCTTCACAAGAGACCAAGTACCATTCTTGTGGAGAGACTCAATTTCTTCATTCATTGCAATCAGTCACTTGGCTGAGTCAGCACCAGAAACTGCTTCTGAATATTTTGATGGTTCTCCAATTTCTTCAGTTTCCTGTGCAACTGAAAAAGCAAATGCAACATAATCTCCAAACCTTAATGGTTGTTTACCTTCTCTTCTTGGTCTATGTTTGGCTATAGAATACTCCTCTTCTTCTGGTTCAACTTCAGGAGTCTCAACTTCAGGAATTTCAGCTTCTGTCTCAACTTCAGGAGTTTCAACTGTATTTTGCTCCAAAGTTGATGAGCTTGGCTCAGAAGGAATGCCAATCTCAATCTCCACCTGGTTCTGTGTACTCTTTCCTTTATCTGTATTACAAGAACTAGAAGACTCTTTTCTAGAATGTAACATAGAGGATTCATCAAAGGTTACATCTCTGCTAATTATAAATTTTGGTGCCGTGGGATCAGGATACCATAGTCGGTATCCTTTCACCCCAGATGCATACCCAAGGAAAATGCACTTTTTAGCCCTTGGCTCTAATTTTCCATCATTTACATGCATGTATGCAGGGCAACCAAATATCTTTAAATCAGAATAATTAGCAGGAGTACCTGACCACATTTCCTCTGGAGTCTTAAAGTTCAAAGGTGCAGAATGAGCTCGGTTGACAATATAACAAGCTGTAGAGATAGCTTCTGCCCAAAAGGCATTGTCAACCCAACATTTGAAATCATGCAACGAGCCCTTTCCAAAAGAGTTCTATTCATCCTTTCTGCCACACCATTTTGCTGAGGTGTCATTCTCGTAGTACGATGTCGAGCAATTCCTTTATTCTTGCAAAATTCATTGAATTCATCATTACAAAATTCCAAGCCATTATCTTTTCTAAGCCGCTTAACCTGTTTTCCTGTTTGCTTCTCAATCAAAACTTTCCATTGTTTGAAATTTAAGAAAACATCACTTTTATTTTTCAGGAAATAAACCCAAACTTTCCTGGAATAATCATCAATGAAAGTTAACATATACCTGGCACCACCTTTTGATGGGGTACGTGAAGGACCCCAAAGATCTGATTGAATGTAATCCAAAGTGCATTTTGTTCTATGAATCGCTGGAGATTTGAAGCTGACTCTTTTCTGCTTTCCGAACACACAATGTTCATAGAACTCCATATTTTCGGTACTTTTGGCCACATAAGAGACNAAAGGTTACATCTCTGCTAATTATAAATTTTGGTGCCGTAGGATCAGGATACCATAGTCGGTATCCTTTCATCCAAGATGCATACCCAAGGAAAATGCACTTTTTAGCCCTTGGCTCTAATTTTCCATCATTTACATGCATGTATGCAGGGCAACCAAATATCTTTAAATCAGAATAATTAGCAGGAGTACCTGACCACATTTTCTCTGGAGTCTTAAAGTTCAAAGGTGCAGAAGGAGCTCGGTTGACAATATAACAAGCTGTAGAGATAGCTTCTGCCCAAAAGGCGTTTGTCAACCCAGCATTTGAAATCATGCAACGAGCCCTTTCCAAAAGAGTTCTATTCATCCTTTCTGCCACACCATTTTGTTGAGGTGTCATTCTCACAGTACGATGTCGAGCAATTCCTTCATTCTTGCAAAATTCGTTGAATTCATCATTACAAAATTTCAAGCCATTATCTGTTCTAAGCCGCTTAACCTGTTTTCCTGTTTGCTTCTCAATCAAAACTTTTCATTGTTTGAAATTTAAGAAAACATCACTTTTATTTTTCAGGAAATAAACCCAAACTTTCCTTGAATAATCATCAATGAAAGTTAACATATACCTGGCACCACCTTTTGATGGGGTACGTGAAGGACCCCAAAGATCTGAATGAATGTAATCCAAAGTACCTTTTGTTCTATGAATCGCTGGAGATTTGAAGCTGACTCTTTTCTGCTTTCCGAACACACAATGTTCACAGAACTCCATATTTCCGGTACTTTGGCCACATAAGAGACCTCTTTTACTGAGGATGGAAAGACCTTTTTCACTCATATGCCCCAATCGCATATGCCACAATTTGGTGATGTCAGAATCTGATTTATCTGATATTGAAACTGCAGCAGCACCTGTAACAGTAGATCCCAAAATAGTATATAACGTACCAGATCTGCGTGCTTTCATGATCACAAGAGCACCATGAGAAATTTTCAAAACTCCACCTTCACCTGTGTACTTGCACCCAAGAGATTCTAGAGTGCCCAAAGAGATGAGATTTTTCTTCAAGTCAGAAATATGTCTAACATCGGTGAGAGTTCTCACCACACCATCGTGCATTTTGATTCAGACTATACCTTTTCCAATAACTTTGCAGGCAGCATTTTTGTCCATCAAGACAACTCCACCTCCAATAGATTCATATGTGGTAAATAAATCCCGACTGGGACACATATGATAAGAACAACCCAAATCTAAAATCCACTCATTGTTAGATTTGAAACTATTATTAGTTGCAAAAAAAATAGTTCCCTCAATCTCATCAGTAGCTACACTTGCTTCGGCAGTGTCAGTATTTTTGTGCTCATTTTTCTTTTCTGTATGCTTTTCTTTGTTTTTCAATTTAAAGCATTCAGAAATAATGTGACCTTTCTTATGACAATATTTGCACATGACATTTCTGTATCTGGATTTTGACCTTGATTTAGGTTTCTCACTACTTGAATCTTTCTTATTGGATCTACCTCTTATGAATAAGCCTTCCTCTTGGTTCCCACTAGTTTCCCCAGTAATATCTCTATCTATTTATTCTTTTGATTTCAAAATAGATTTGATATCTTTATAAGAGATATTATCCTTTCCATAAAGTATAGTATCTCTTATATGTTTAAACTACTGGGGTAAGAAAACAAGCAATAACACAACTTGATCCTCATCTTTGATTTCAGCATCTATGTTACTTAAATCTATAAGAAGAGAATCAAAAGTATCAAAATGAGTAAGTATAGAGGTACCTTCAGCCATACAAAAAGTGTAGAGTTTTTGCTTTAGGTAAAACCTGTTTTCTACTGTTCTTTTCATATATAAGGTTTTAAGCTTTTCCCATATGCCTTTGGTTGAGCTTTCTGCTGCAACTTCACGCAAAACCTCATTTGAAAGATTTAAAATAATACCTGCTTTGGCCTTTTTGTCTATGACGGCAAACTCCTCGTCCGTCATTTTATCCGGCATCTTCTCCTTTCCTTGTAGTGCCAAATCTAAGCCATCCTGAATTAGGATAGCTTCGATCTTTAATTGCCACATTTTGAAGTTTGCACTTCGGTCAAATTTCTTAACATAAGACTTTGTTAGAGTCATTTTGGCTATTTAAGCTAACTCGGTTAGATCTGGCTCTGATACCAATTTGTTAGAATCGGGAACCCGGGTAGTGCGGAATTTAACCAAACAATGGTATAATGACAATAACAAAGACAATGGAAGTTGATAATAACGGCAATTAAAGAAGATAAAGAAGACACAAATTTAACGTGGTTCGGTCAAGGTGACCTACGTCCACAAGCGGAGAGAAGCAATTTCACTATACCAATAAGAGTACAAAAGAGAGTACAAAATTAGAGTAAATACTCTAATTAATCCCAAATACCCCAAGAGAATAACCTCACAAGTTCACTCCAAAGAAAGGGTTCACACAAGTGTTTCCCAACACTCACTCTCTTACAAAATAAATGGGGAGAAAGAAAGACAAGAGTGAAAAGCTCTTGAATTGGTGTATTTTCAAATGAGGAGAAACTCCTTTATTTATAGCAAGAAATCCTTGGCCTAATAATAGATATTATGTCATGGCAAATGTCATGATCCACAAATTTATTATAATGGATATTATGTCATGGCAAATGTCATGAACCACAAATTTGTTATAATGGATATTATGTCATGAAAAATATCATGAAAATTTGGCTATATTACAGATTCATTAGTAATGCTTTGTAGTAATCTGCATTATATGATGTGAACTTTAGGGTATTTCAAACGAAGCTCCATAATTGCTTGCCACAGGTGATCATTGTGAAGCTTCGAAAACATATTAAGTCCTTGGTGGCATATGTTTTTTCCATTTGAATCACCCTAGGGAAACAAAGACCTAAAACCAGGAAAGCAGCCAATGGGTAGAATTTCAGAAACCATGAGAGTTTTGGCTCCAGCTTCGTTGATGAGTCTTTCTATTGAATTCTTAATTGTCTCCACCACTTCAGGCACGAGATGAGACGCGTCTGAAATAGATTTTCCATGTAAGAAAGCATGCTTGTGGTCATTGACGCCGGGTTGATCCATAAAGATGAGCGCCTTCTGAAGAGCCTTATTGTTTTTGCCGCAGTCATGAAAAGAGAAGCGGTCTTCATAGAAGAACTTCATGAAGGTAGAAATCTGAGATAGGTCATGTGACTGTGGAGGTGGTGGGATGCCATTCTTGAGGAAGAAAAAGGGTTTCATGATGGTTGCTCCGGGCGTCGCAAAACTCAGGCCAGACTCGAAGAACTCAGTGTCTCGCTGGGTGTATGGTTGCGGAGAAGGCAAACTGAGGGTTGCAGCAACATGATTGTATACGGTCGAAATCGGGTGATCGGTGGCAGGGGAGGTGCCTCGAGGGTAACCTCATAAGAGATCGGGCTCAAGCTCAATGATAGAACATCAAGCCTGGAGATCGAAATGTTCATTGAGATCGAGGCCAGCAACAATCGAGATCAAGCATGACTAACTTCGAGTAAGACGCAATAACAGAATGGCGAGATGTCAATAATCGGTCGAAGTTCACAGCGGAAATCCCGGAACAGATCAAATCGAAGCGGTTATTAGTGCCGATCATGGGATCTATTTCCGTTATTAGAGTTGTACCTTATTTAGGATTCTTCTATTATATAAAGAAGGATCCCATTCACTTGTAGACAAAAAAAAATAATGATTATTCACTGATAAGAATATACATATATGCTGCTTTCTTTGTTTTACTTACTGTTCATCGTTGTTTGTTGCATCCTCCATTGTTCTTATTAACTAACCTCGAAACTTCTCGAATCGAGGTTGAGGTATTGTTTGCGTACCGATTTGATTTATTTTATTGTCCAATTTATCTATTTAATTCGTTGTTTATCAATTGGTGCTGGTTTAAATCATATATCCTTAAAACCACAATATAAGTTTAATTGTTACTTAATTTTTAGGGTAAACAATGAGCTGATGATGAAGAAGAGTCGCCATCACCAAAACTATATATGGAATTAAAGGGACCAACGGTTTCTTCCGCCTCGGTGAAAGGCGGAACAACATGATCAACAATACAAGTAAAGAGTAATACCAAGAGAAACAAACGATGGCTGCTCCTCATTATATTGAAGCAAAACAAGAAAGAGCAAATTGATATACAAACTATGGTTTGCAAAATTGTAAGCTGGTGGATACAATATTTATATAGAGGTGCAACATAAATTGTTTCCGAGGAGGATTAGGAGAATAGCTATCGTTTTACTTTTAGGAAAGTATCGAATAAGTCACATGGCTGTATTTCTTTTTCTTTCTTATACTTCACGTACAAGTCTTCTTCTTTTTACTAAAGGAAAACGTTTCATTTTTCCATTTCTATATTTACTAGTATCTACGAACGTGCATTGCATGTTAATAATGACACGAGATGCTTTAAACATTTATTTATATAAAGAAATAATAAAATTTAATTAATGAGAGAAATATTATGCATAATAAAACAACAATCATCTAAATGCCGAAAATTATTATTACATTAGCATAATACATGAATTTAAAATAAAATAATATCATCAAAACTTACACAAACGATCAATTTTGTTAAGTTAGTTAGATAATTATATATTATGGTTTAAAAGTATTTAATGTGATGGTATCTTAACGAACACTTCTTTGTGGACAATATTTTTTTTGTGTATGTTTCCTCCTAATGTGTTGGTTGCTCTGCCTTAACCAGAATTCTTGTTGTCGATCTTGATATCCCTCTTGAAAGTGCAACATACAGTTGTTCGTGCAAGAAAATATATTACGGTAAATATAGTCCAATATTTAGGATGTTTGTCCTTATGCTTTATTTATTAGTGCAAAACATAAACATACTAAAAATTATTTTCACACAAATTTAAAAGGATATTTCTTAGTTTCTGAAGACGAAAGTTGAATTGAGGGATAAGAATATGCTTAGAAGCATATTAACCAGTATCATAATTTTTGCATTATGACGTTATTGTCAAAACTTCTATATACTATATGTGTGCTATTACATAAGCTTTCAACGTATCTAAGTTTTTTGGTAGCATGACGAGCATATTTTTTCTTCAAGATTAACCTATATACAATGGAAGATCAATTTTAACTTAGTCTATTATATATACAACGACAATAACATACGTAAGAAATAAGAAACTTGACAACAAATATGTATGGTAGAAGACCATTTGGTATTAAAGTATTTAAGTATTCTTCTTTGTAGTAATTATTGGTATCATTTTCTGCTGAGTCAAAAACTGAAAAATATTTTATTTTTACTATAAAATTTTGCAATCAACCTTTTATTTAGTTGATCAACATATTTATTTCTACTAGCTAAGATATCTTTTTTAATTCTATCATGCGATTTGCTCAAAATCTAACGATAGAGATATTTTTTTATTAAATGCACTACTATTACTATTGGGATTGATAACCAAGTGTTTAGGAAGAACCAAACCATATTTTATTGGATGCTCTTCTTCGATTCCGACACGAAGCAAGAAGACACTGAATACTTGATCTGTTGTTACTTTATATTTCTTGTCAGTTAAATCTTTTTCATTTGAGGCCAAAAGTATAACTTTGGCAAGCTAGTTTTGGAACTACTGGTACTACTTGACAGAAATCACCTCCCAAACCATTAATTTTTCACCAAACGGTTCATTAATATCCAATATATCTCTAGACCTCCGGACAATTATTTCGATCGTTTGACACTTAGCCATAAGTGTTTCATCCCATATTATTGATTTTGCTTTCCTTGTAAATTTAGCACAATTATTTTGCTTTGATATATTTGTGACAGTTATTTTAAGTTGTTTGAAGAGGTATATCAAATCTAAAGTGGGTGGCCTCACAATAAAATCGTTGTTGATACACCACTTGCCATTATTGCTAACAGTGTCGTGCCTCTTGATATGATATTTGCAAGTAATTCATGACATTGAAATACTATTTTGATTCCGCCGGAGTCATCTACAAAGAATAATCTTGTTATACCAGAGTCGACTCTTTATAATATAATCTTGAAAGCTTGTTCTTATTTAGGATTTAACTTTGATTGTGCTTCCTCAGACACTTGTATTGCATTTTGATTATTAATAATATACTAACCTTTTTACTTTGTGTTTTAACGCTCTTTTATGGAATAAATTTATATACCCTAAGATTTTATTTTTAACTTGAATAAGAATTTTACTCATATGATGAATTTAAGAAATAATTTAATTGGATTCTTTTTCTAAATAATTAATTAAAAGATTTAACTATTTGGTTTTAACATAAAAAATAATTTATTCTATGTTGATTCAGATCTTAATATTAGTTCATCTCTTATTTTGAATATTTAATCTTAATTATAATTTTATCCACCATAAATTTTATTTTCAAAGAGTAAAAGATTGATATGACATTTCACTTTTAGATCTTTATGTTTGTAGAATCATTAGTGCTATTGACTCTTACCAACCTTTTTTTCTCTTTCTCATACATTTATATTCTTAAATATTTTCTTATTTATTTTTTAATACTTGGGTAATTTTTAATACTACACGAAAAATTAATTAAAAATATTATTTGAGTAGAAAAATAGTTCAAATATAAAATAAAATATATTATCGTGGAGGTATTTATTTCTCAATTTCAACTCTTTATGCAGTCTATTTAATATTACTTTTATTTTTTCTTCGTATTGGACATTATGTAGTGGTAATGTATTACCAATACGAAAGATTCTTATGATATTAATTTTATTAAACCTTCCTACATATTTTTAATGAGAATAGGTTATTGCAGTTATGTCCTTTCCCTATGAGTTCTTCCGTTTAATATTTTAGGGCTATTTTGATATATTAATATTGTATTTATAATTTTATAATAATGTAGGCTCTCATTTTTTTCTAAATAGATTTGGACAATATAATACATTCTCAAATTAAATTAGTAATAGGACATTATAATATGTTTTCAAATTAAATTAGTAATATGAATTTTTAAGAAGTATATCCTAAAAGTAATAGGATTACATGACAAAAGATATTTACTTGTTCAATTTTATATGAATTAGATAACCCGAAAATAATTATACTAATAGGATTCCTAATGTGTAGTATTATCTCCTAAAACTAATAGGATTATAAGGCTAATATCTAGAATTCCGGTTATGTCCTTTTTTAATGAGTTATTATGCTTAATATTATAAGGTTATTTTTATAAACCGACATTGTATTCATACATTTATAATAATATAAATAGATATAACATAAAAATTGCACAATATATGTAGGCGGTAGAGCTTAATCTCCCACTATTAGGTGGTTTCTATTTTAAAAAAATGAAACTAAGAAACCTAACCTCAACCTATTGATATTTTTCTTCTTTCATCAAGTTAGGAATTATGTGGACCAAGATAGACAAGGCTTGCGCACATCCTTGGGTTCATCTCTCATTCCTTTCAGGGCCCTAGTAAGAGGCAACATCAGTTCAATCCAAAGCTCTAATATCAAGATTATTGTGCATTTCTTTGGTCGGCCCAATCAAGCTGCGTTAGCAACTTGGATCATCAAGTCCTTCGCAGTCAATTTATCAAGGTTTATATTATGCATAACTATAGTCACTTGCCGCCACTTAATGTGTATTTTATTTATCTGAGATGGCTCAATATACTATCAGCAACAAATCCAAGATTTAATTCAATCTAGCTAGTTCTTTGTGAAATAAGTTATGATTTTTGAACTTAGTGTAAATATATAATCCTAAATGATTCAATTCAACTAATTAGAGATATGCTTGTATATAATGAGATAAATATTGGTAGAGCGATTGTCAATAATAAATTCTGTCAATTAATATGATCAATTAAACCTCATAACAGCTTTATTGTTGCCTAATACAGTGGTTGGTGGCTATTTGGTTTTGAATAGTTTTGGCCCGTTTTGTCGGACGTGTTTTAATTAGTTATGATAGGCATGTACACGGTAACAGCGTCGGCTAATTAATTGGGAAGTTCATGCATGGCTCTGCAGATTTGATGTTTCAATGGGTCCATTGTGTTAACGTGACTTGCCAAATTCAGGGATTTCCGCCTTCCACGCACTTTTCCTTCTAGATATGATCTTTGTGTGCACAATTTACCCGTGCGTGCATGTTTCTTTTGGGATTTAAGTTATACTATAGTATTAAGAGATATATAATACATAATTATTGTCCTACTTTACTAGTTATATCCTCATATTTTACCTCCTATAAATTTTTAATGTGGAATTATTATACCTTTTTACGCCTATGTGGCATAAGGTTTGTTTTCACTTCCCAATAGCGCGTGCGAGGACAAATTTAAGCCAACAATTAATGTATTTTTCCCTTCTTTATTTAAAATATATATTTTTTGTTTTAGTTCCTTTTATTTTATTTCATTTTCTTTCTTCTCTTTGTTTTTTCTTTCTTTTTCTTCAATTTTTGCTTCTTCCACATAGGCACATATCACTTGACCACTATGTCACCTCCGTGCAGAGATGGATCCACGATTTGATGGTTACGAGTGCCACTGTAACTTACCCTTAATCAAGGAGGTTGAATTAGGGTATACATTTGACTAGTTCGCTCAGCTTTGAATTATCTTGGTTCGGCTCGGTCCATTTTTTAATTAATTCGATTCACTTTATAAGATGTTTTGGTACATAAAATATACACGTGATAACCAAACTAAAAGTGTTTGGTCCTTCACGGAAAAAATAACATTAACTAGATCAAGCAAAAAATGATTAAAAGCATATTGAAATTTCAAAATTAAGATTAAGAAAAGGAAAACAAAAATAATATACTTTTATAATCTAAATAACTAATAAAGATGGAACTATATAGAGAGAATTCAAAGATGAAAATAAGAAATTAAGAGAAAAAGAAGAAAAGAAACTTCTGAAAAAGAGGGAACAAGGAAAAGCAAAATCGGCTTTGTAAAAAAATGAGTGAGATGAGAGTCGATCTTGGGCCTAGCCAGAAGCACTTGGACCGTGGCACTTACAATAACTTTGGTACTCAGGGTGCCACGTTTTGATTATATCCCTTTTTCAAATGAAATATCATTGGAATACTAATACTCATATGAAATTCTATCGAAGCGACCGGGTGATGTACTTTCATATTCCGCCCCTGCCTCCATGGCCTCTATTACTCCATCACTTTCCATAAATAAAAACATATTACATACCCGCCAAAATGCATATTATTTTTTCATTTCTTACTTTATCTATTTTTCTTTCTTCTTTTCTTCAATTTTGGGAAAAAGTATGAAAGTTACCATTTTTCCTGATGACTATCTCGATGGAGTTTTCTACCTTTGTCTTTATCTGTTAAAAAATCTTCCTATTGCATCCTAAAAATCATCTTCAATACCTTTTTTCTCTTCTTCTTTTTTCTTCTTTCCTTTTTCTCATTTTTCTTTCCTCACAATATTTTTTACTAGAAAAAATATGATTACGGATATACTTTAAATAATGGAGGGATATTTAATATATATAAAAAGAAAGAAGACGAAGGAATGGGTGGGGGCGATGGAACAGAAAAAAAAAGAAGCAACAAATGGAGAAGTCTAAAATTAAAAACCAATAAGAAAAAAAGGAATCAGTTGGGAGAAGACAGGGATGGGACGAAGGAGACGGGGGAGGCAGACCTACGCTAGGGGTTGGGGTCGTTCCGTTGGCCTCGACAAAAATATTGTATATATATTTTATATATATCTGTTAATACAGGGAGAACCCCTTTAAATATTTAAAGAGGCCCCCTAAGTCACAAAGGTTGGATAGAAGAGATGGTTTGTGAAAGTGTTCAGTGGCCTTCTTTTGCCTCTGGACCCAGGTTCGAATCTGGGATCCTACATTCCATATTATTTAATTTTTACTTTTTAACTTAAGACTTAAATAGCTTAATATTTTTTAACCCCTTCAAAGATCCGAAAACAAACTCTCTTTTTTTCTCCAAGAAACAAACCTTCTCAACTTCTCTGCCTCCCTTCAACTTCAACCTTCTTTTCAGTTCTTCACTTCTTTGCATTCCTTTGAACTTCGAATCCCACTCTTCTTCAAATCTTTAATTATTTGAGTAAGTTTTTCTTCTTTTTATAAATATTATTTTTTTGATTTTTGTAATTTTGACCTAGATTAGTTATGAGTTATGACTTATGAACATATTTACTTTCTCCCCCATTCAAAATATTCATTTTCACTAACACCATCAAATGCAAATCCAATTAGTAGCAAACACTTAAGTTGAACAAATAATTGATGAGTAAAGTGCTCATGTAGTCCTGTAAATTTTTTGTTAGCTTAATTTTCTGGAGTTCTTTAATATAGTAGATAATGCTTGCAAGTTTTGCAAGAAACTTGTATTCGGATATCAAGGATACATCTTTTAATTTTTGAATTCACTACTGTTCTTTTAGTTTTTGAATTTATTGTTTGAGCGGACAACAATCATGGTGATTGGTGCACATTTACATGATGTTAAATCTTTAGTTGGTGCACATAGGTGTTTGAAGATTTTTTGCTAATGCTATTTGAAATATTATTTCAGTGAAGTGGATGATTTGAAACCAAGTTGTATTTGGATTTCAAGGATACCTTTCACAAATTAGTAAGTGTTCCTTCTATCTTTAAGATAATAATAATAATAATATTGTTATGAGTTATGGCTTATAATAAAATATAGTGGTGTGATTCCCCTATTAAAAATATTATATTTGTTTTTGTTCGTGATAGAAGGGGTGTGATTCCCCTATTAAAATATTATTTTACTTGGCATTGTTGCTTTGTAGGAAGTTTTGCTGATGTAAATTGAGATAGACATATTTTTGACGAGGTTTAATTCTTCTCAACCAAGTTCTAGTTTTAGAGACAATTCCTCCCATCTTGTAGAGGAGTTTGATGTGAAATCACTTAATCCTGACCCCGGAGAGAGAATACCCATTAATAAATATAGCTCCAGAATACGGGATGAAGTGAGAAGACACTGCATCCAAAGAGGGCCTTGACAACCAGTTTATCACAAATTTTCTAAAATTTTATTTGGGAAAAAATGCGCCAATTTAGTCCGGGTTGATTTAAAGATTCACATTCTAGATGTTTAGAATATAGTGTGAAGAAAGATGCCGCATTTTATTTATATTATTATTTATTAAAAAATGATTACGTTCATAGTAGCACGGGTGACTCTTTCACAAAAACCGGCTTTAAGGCTTCAAATAAAGGACCTGAAAAACTTGGTCTACATGTTGGTGAAGTAAATAGCCTCCACCATAAGTGTTTCAACAAAATGGTAGACTTGTCAAATCAATCTCAATCAATTCAAGCTGCTTTTGAAAAGTAATCCGAGAAACAAAAAAGTGAATATCGAATTCGTTTAAATACCTCAATCGATGTTGCAAGGTTTCTCTTGGACTTTAGGTTGTCTTTTCGAGGTCACGATGAAAGTGAATCTTCAAAAAATAAAGGCCTTTTTATAGGGCTTTTGGAATGGCTTGGAAATAGGCTTCCAGATGTAGATAGAGATATATTAAAACATGCTCCAAAAAATGATATGATGACTTCGCCAAAAATTCAAAAGGATATTGTGAGTGCTTGTACACAAGAGACCGTGAAAGCTATAATTGATGACCTAGATTGAGATTATTTTGGGTTATTAGTTGATGAGTCCAAGTATATTTCACACCATGAACAAATGACCCTTGTTTTACGGTATGTTGACAAAAAAGGCCAAGTGAACAAGCCATTTATTGGTCTTGTTCGTATTAGTGATACATCTGCAAAGTCGTTGAAAGAAGCAGTACTTTCTTTGCTAATGAAACACTCATTAAGTCCATCCAAAATACGTGGACAAGGCTATGATGGGGCTAGTAATATGCAGGGAAAGATGAATGGTCTTAAAGCTTTAATTTTGCAAGGAGGTGGAGACTTTCTTTTCTATTGTTACTAACGTATTGAATGTGATTGGAGTTTCTTTTATGTGTAGAGACCAACTTCGGGAACATCAAGTAGAATTGTTGGAGCAATTGCTAGAAAGTGGTGAAATTCAAAGTGGGAAAGGATTAAATCAAGAGCGAGGGCTTCAAAGGCCAGGTGACATTCGCTGGGGATCACATTGTAAAACATTGGATAACTTTGTTATTTTATTTTCTTCTATTATTCATGTGCTTGGGGTGATTGAATGTGAAGGTGATGCTAATGATAGGTTGCAAGCATAAGCTTTTACGAGTAAAATTAAAGCATTTGAATTTGTTTTCTTGCTTCACTTAATGTTGAAAGTGTTGATAATATCAAACGAGTTGAGCAAAGCTTTACAGAAGAAAGAGCAAGATATTATCAATGCCATGTTATTTCTTGATATCACGAAGGAAAGGTTGCAAGAAATGAGAGATGAAGGATGGGAACCATTGATGGATGAAGTATCTTCATTTTGTGCAAACATGATATTTTGGTACCCAAGATAGAAGAATTCTATATTCCTGGAAAGTCGAAGCGTAGGCCTTCTAGTATTACTTATTCACATAACTTACGTGTTGAGCTTTTTTATGCAATGATTGATTTGCAACTTCTGGAGCTTAATAGTCGTTTTGATGTTGTGAGTAGTAACTTGCTTCTTGGTATGGCTAGCTTGAATCCAGCTAACTCATTTGCTAATTTTGATAAGGAAAGAATAATGACATTGGCCAAGCATTATCCCGATGAGTTTGGTGAATTAAAGTTTCGAGATCTTAGTCGCCAACTTGACACTTTCATATGGCACATGGAACATGGTGACCCTAGGTTCTCTGATTTGAATGGAATTGGTGATTTGGCAAAAGCAATGGTTGAGGCAAATCTTGTGGAGACTTATTCACTTATTTATTTGCTTGTGCAAGTTGACTTTAATTTTACATATCGCAACTGCAACGGTAGAAAGAGCATTCTCATCCATGAAGTACATCAAAGATGAATTGCGTAGTAGTATTAGTGATGCATTTTTAAATGATTGTTTAGTTTGTTACTTTGAGAAGGAAGTATTTGTAAATATAAGCAATGATGCTATTATTGACCGTTTTCAAAATATGAAAGCGCGTCGAGTTCAACTATGAGTGGACAATGTACTTTTGTTATATTAGTATCAAGTTAATGGTATTTGATAATATTGATGTTTTTATTTTGATGATAAATTATCATAGTCATTTCAAAGAGTTGCACCCGAACTTTATCGTTGGTGATTGAGATACTAAAGATAATGGTATCCCCGTTATGCTTAAATCCTGGGTCTGCCTCTAGGGGGAGGGGGAAAGGGGAGGAGGGACGGAGATGAAGAAAAGGAAAAAAGAAAAAGGAAGATAAAATAAATAAATAATAAAAAAGAAATAATTTAGTGTAAAACCAGTAAACCACGTATCAAAATATGATTAATGCATGTTAGTCATGGAAGTGGTATTTATTACATTTCAAGCAAAGCCACTAGGTTCACGAGACCCTATTGATACAAGTGGTAAAGTGGGACAACCTCAAGGGGTAACTATATATTATCCCTAATAATAATGCTAAAAAATCTTTTAACATTAACAGTACGTGTAATTTAATTTGTAAAAATTGATTAACTATATATTAATCAAATTTCAATTAATATTTATTATAAAATTTTACTTGTTATTTACCTTATAAGTCACTTGACTGTATAAATATCTTATACACCCTGAGTACATATAATCTTTTCTTAATTACGTATGGACTCCCTATATGTCCTTATTTAAACATGTGAAATGTGCGTTGAAGATGGCATGCAGCTTTGACAATATTCAATCAAATACAAATTAAAGGATTTACATGTGAAGAGAGATTTCGTTTAACAATGTCATTTTGGCACTACAAATGTTTATCACGCAAGGGTTTCCACTTTGTTACACTTTATCCCATTACCACTAAAAAATAAAGCAGCTGATGAAACTTTTTTGGGCAGTCTGCCACGTTAGACTACTCACAGTTTTGTTTGAGCAGGTGACACAGTTACTGGATAAGTTTCAAGTGCACCTACTTACTACAATAATAAATATTTTCTTGTGTTTAATAGTTAACTCAAGAAAAAATCAAGCTCGTATGTGATTGCCGTATTTCTAATCTAAAATAAGTTACTAACCCGCTTGGCGACAGCACGTCAAATCTAGGTGAGCCTTGTTTAAGTTTCAGAATAAGACAACGGAAGCTTAAAAATGATGGCTCAAGTCCCTCGTGTCATATGTTTTTTTATCTCCACACCCAAAAAGGGTCTTACTTATACTACTCCTGCCTCATCTATGGCTTGGGAAGAGGAGAAAGAAATATAGAAACTGAAAAGAAGGAAGGTTTTAATTTGAGTACTTTCCTAAATTATTAAAGAACTTGGTTGTTTGCCTAACTTTTTACTCGTAAATTAAATAAACAGTAAAATAAGAACAATTATTTTTACGTGAAAAATCACTCGGCTCAAATGTGCAACAACCACGACCTACCACGTATGATTTTAACTTCAACTTCACTAGAATAAATGAGCCAAATGTACTGATTACAAGACTTGTAAACCAATACCCACATATTTCTCCTACTTCTACTACTTGAATGAATTACAAGCTACTCTAACTTGCACACTCAAATAGTGACTTCGACTAACATGTTTTGAATGACATCTGAATACCATCCAATCTCCTAATACACATGAACTAATAAACTCAAGAAGAACACTGACTTTTAGTACACACTAATATGATATGACATTCTTCAGTTGATGTGCAAAAGGATAATCTTCTCAGTCCATAAGGAAAGTAATTAACTTCCCGAATCTGAGATCTTTGGGAGTCCTACACGTAGTTATCTTCTTGTTCGGCAGCAATCCTAAAGTTCCACGGACTCCACAAATCTTATGACTCTTGTCTATCAACTATGCGGATAGATATTCTTGGACAATAGTCCTTATCACATCAAGAGTCCTTTCCAGTTATATCGGACTACATTAACTTTATGTAAAAGTTACTGCACTGTAAGAACCTTCAACAGCTACCTTGGGGACATGGTTCTTAGCACACTTTTATTGGACATACTTGTTAATCATCAAAACCTCAATTTTCAATAAATTTTCCTTTTTTGATGATGAAAACTTTGTGCTCATGAACCAGGTAATGACATTCATAAACATACACAATACATCACAGTTGAGAACAATAACATATTGTGAGCAACACAAATATTTGAACAGACATCTCCCCGGGACAAGTGCATCACCCTCACCCCCACTCTATCTTTTTCCTTTTGGAATCATCGAAAAATACATAGCTATTAGACAGTCAAAGCAACAGTAAATGCAAGATTTATGGTCATTGAGGCTACAACGCAAGCACAGGAAATATCAAGACAAATGAACTATGGTGATGATATAAACTATGTGAGAAGCAGTAAAACAACATAAGATAGTTCATTAAGTAGTGCCAAATTAAGCCCAAGGCCGTGAGCTAATATGTTAAAGCAAATTAAACAGAAACATCCTGCAAACTACTCAAAAACTAGACTAGAAAGACAAAATGCAGCACCACTAAGCAAACAAAAAAAAATAGATGGGAGACACTGGGTAAAGGACCAGGATTAGGGGTGAGAGGTGGATGAGGTCAAGGCTTTCACAAGAGTGGAAATCCGTTGAGCATGAGCCTCTCTGTCTCTTTTGAGCTATTCCCGAAGCTGCCTGGTTTCCTTTCTTAGCTCATCATTGTCCTCCATGAGCTTAGCATTTTCTTATAAATCCAATTCCAACCTTTTTGGGTTTCTAGGCAAAATGGCAGAGCCAGTTAGTCCTCTAGCCTTGATCTCAGTATATCTACACTTCTTGAGTGTGGCAACGTCGAGAACATCATTGTGATTCCAAAACTTTAGCTCAGGCAAGGATATATTGAGCTTGTCAAACAACTCAGTTAGCATGAAGCCATAAGGCATAGCATGCTTATGCTTTGAGGTGTCTGCAGCCCTTGCCAGATACTGAATAATCAGGCTAGGAAGATTTATGGCTCTACCTGTATCCAACAGCTCCATTACAACCATATCAAGCAAGGTGGCCTCATGCCTCATCTTAGATCTCTGCAGAATGCAAGAGTTCACAAAGTGAAACAATAGTTTGTGAAAAGGTGTCATGTCAGTCTTGTACACCTTTTGGGGAGCATCCAACTCAAACTTCTGGGAGACCTTTCTGGTGACCGCAATGCCTGTGTCCACATCATTGTCAATAGCAGGCCACTTCTTCTTCAGATAGTTGTCAAATCCCAGTAAAGGAATGTTTAGTAGCAGCCCAAGCACTTCAGCATCAAACTCCATCTCAAACCCTCTCACAGAACTCTTTACTACCTTGCCATCAAACTGAAAATTTGCATAGAACTCAACCACTGTACGCACACATACAGGGGCAAAGGCTTCAACAAACCCATGTGTCTATCCATGTAGGTCAAGATTTTCTACAAACTGGTCCATGCCCTTTTCATCAGTGTTAGAAAGTATTTTCCTATTCAACATCTTTCTATTTTTGAACTTAGCCAACCTATCAACTACCCTAGAGTCAACCCTTTTCTTCTTCTCTTTGCTGGTCTTGCAACGACCCGACTGATTATTTTACTTTATAGATTCCCGTGATCGCGTCCAATTGCACACCTCAAAAGAGGTATGAAATAGTCATTTACAATTATAGAAACCCAACTAAAAGTCGGGGTCGAATCCACAGGGAGCTAAGATGGGTGTTAGGGGTATATATTTCAATGTGCGTGATTGAATTATCTAGATTGCACTTCCACAAAAAGATTGGTTTTCTATTTCTAATTTTACTATATTGATTGCAAAATAAAGAAAGAAGACTAGAGATAATTATTTTTGAGATTTTTCCAAATTGATAAAAAGCCTAGGGCTGTGACCATTACCTAGATATTTGCTGATGGTAGGTTAGAAACTCGTGTTTTAGTCGTTTATTGCACTCTAATTCACTGCACTTTACTTATGTTGAGCTTTAATTAGTAGTGCTTTGCACTTATTATGTGTTTTATGCTGTGTAGGAGTGATTTCGAGTTATTTAGATGTTGTAGAGCAAATTCGAGCTAATTGAAGCTTTGAAATCTGAGTAAAAGCCCAAGGGATTAAACCGGGATTGCGTTCGGGGGTCGAGGACCAAGTCCAGATGTCAAAAATTGAAGAAACGAACTACTCTGAGAAAAATGCACAGTCGCACCGCATGGGGCGGCGCAATAGTGCAAAAATCTGCCCAGAATCCATTTTGCAAATCATTCTGGAATTCCTCACAAGCGCGCCGCATGGGGCGATGCGGCATGCGGCGCGATAGTTCAAAAATGTTAGAGTATCATCCCATTTCCGCTGAAGCAACAAGGATTTCTGGGACTTTTGAAGCAACGAGTTTATTGGGGGATGGCTTAAATACACAGGAAAATACCATTTCTGGGACTTTTGAACAGATTTCGATCTAAGGAGGCCAAGGAGGCTAAGGAAGAACACAAGCACAATTATTTCATCATTCCTTCCTCACTCAAGATCGGGGTTTGGATTGAATTTATGTTTTCCTATAATTTTGTTACATTTATGAAGAACTTCTCCATGTCTATGGAGTAGACCCTTTTGGGTTTTGATGGATTTGGTGTACTGATGATTGTTTGTAGATTATAACTCTATTTTTATGTATTTGAATCATTTTTTGAATTTAATTGTTGCATCTATATTCACATGTTCTTGTAATCGAAAGAGGCATAACTTGTGATATCTTTGCATTATATTATTGGTTGAGTTTATAGATTCTTCTAAGTAATCAAAAGAGGCTAGTTGAATCATTGATTAAACCTAGTTAGGAGAATAATCAAGAGAAGTTCTCCTAAAAACCAATCCATTACGCAGTCTTGCATATCTTCACAGAGCTTAAATTGATTCAGATTGAGAGGTTAGACTTAA